TTTAGGGTTTAGGGTTTAGAAAGGTTTTAGGGCAAGACAAGGTTTTTAGAAGGCTTTTCATGGGGCTTTGAGGCTTCAGAGGGGCTTTTAGGGCTTAGGGCCTAGGGGAGTTTAGGATATTTGGGGCGGCGAATCCTCCATGATTCCATGATCGTCTGTCGGATCCCAGGGTCTCTAAAATACTCCCATAAACCCCCAACATCCTAGTGTCCTATTCTTAAACCGCCTGGAGAAGAACCCCTATGAAAAACCCCTACAGCCTTCCATCCTTTAAACGGCCGCACAATAAAAACCCTGTACTCAAGAAAACCTGCCAACACACACCTCATTCTATATCTTGAGGCCCCCAAAACTACCTGAACCCTTAGAGCCTTAGAGCAACGCTTGAAGGAACCCTAAACCCAAATGGCTCAGGCCCCTACACCGAACCCTTGCAGTAGCCCTTGAAGGAACCCTCAACCCAAACCCTTAACAAGACGACCCTTCAAACGAACCCTTGAGGGAACCCTAAATCCCACATTCTTACGGCCCCCATATCCCTAAACCCTAAACCCTAAACCCCACATCCCACATTCCTGCGGCCCCCATCTCTCCTGTCTCCAAAGGCCCGGTACAACTTCGCGGCGTCCTCGGCCATGGCCACCGCCTTCGCAGAAGCTCTTACTTGGAGGTTCATGGGCAGTTATAAGTGGGGCTATGGGGTTCCTGTAAGGGTTCCTTTAGAGGGTTCTATAGGGTTTAGGGTTAAGGGTTCATGGGTAGTTGCAAGTGAAATTATAAGTAGGGTAACTGTAATTATAACCCATGTTAGGGGACTTATAAGTCCACTTATAACTACCCGTGAACCTCCAAGTAGGGAAGACTGCAAGTCTCAGGGGCCCGGCTATTTTGGGCTATTTTAGGGGGTTAGGGGCTTAGGGTGTAGGGCCTTCCTTGGGTTTTTGAGGTTTGGGGTATAGGGTGTAGGGCTGTCCTTTTTGGGATTTAGGGTCTGGGTTTTGGGGCTTAGGGTGTCGGATGTAGGGTTTTCTTATTTTCGAGGTTTACGGTTCAGGGTTTGGCATCGTACCCGGTCTGCCGTAGATGCCAAGGTGAGACGACAAACTCCAACGTTTCCCTGCCGCCTACCTTGGGAGGGTCGCTCAAGGCCATGAGAGTCGGGACGCCGACTTCCACGAGCACCGCTGCTTCTTGGATCCTGGCTGGTTCACGACGAGGCACAAAGATTCCTTGTAAAAGGTTACCATGCCAAAGGTTGCTGCAATACTACAAAGTGACCGTAATGATAAGGCCACCGTTAGCAGGTTACCATAATAAGGTTGCTTTCTCAAAGGTTGCTCGTTTTGAGGTTATCATCGTAAAGTCATGGCGTTATTGCTATACCTCTAACTAAGGCTACTCTCTATAAAGTTACTCCTTTTTGCCGATTACTTACCCCTACCTTAGGGTATATTATCCTACAGATAAGAAGAAGGTCACCCTACCTTAGGGCACTCTTTTGGAGGTCGCCAGATCCCGGGGCCACTGCTGGAGATGCCCGAGCTTCTGGAACAGCAAGCGCGCCTCGCCAACCTGGAGGGGCGGCGGCCGGGGGTTTGGGGTTTAAGGTTTAGGGTTTAGGTTTAGGATTTAGGGTTTAGGGCTTAGGGTTTAGGGTTTAGGGTTCAGGGTTTAGGGTTTAGGGTTTAGAGGTGGAGTGCGGAGGGGGTCGGGGCTTAGGGGTTTACCGGTTTGGTGCTTGGTGCAAGCAGTGAGCAGACAAGGGTTCAGGAGTTTAGGAAGTTTAAGGTTCAGGGGTTAACGTATCGGCCGGGCGCCTCTGACAAAGCGTCCTTCAGCAAGCCCAGGGCCAAGTGCACCTGGAGCCCCAAGAACAGTCAAGCGCAGAAGGGAAAGCTGCATGACGCTGGCACTGGTCCTTGGCCAGCTCGCAAGTAGCTTCTGCCTTGCACATGGATAAATGTGCATGTATATGCACAAATTTACGTCCGTATGCCTGTATGAGTGTATCTGCTCTATATATTCAAATATATATATATATATATATATATGTGGATAGAAATATACATATATATATATATATGGACGCATATATATATATATATACATATACATACATCTACATATACATATATATATATTTGGTAATTTATATACATACATACATATACACATGCCGGGGCTCGAACGCTGCACTAGCGCAGATAACGAAGCCCTGCATGGCCCTGCGGGGAATGGAGTTCGCCAAGAGCCGGCTGGGCGGCACCGTGACCGAGGACGAGCTGGCCAGCGCTTCCGCGGTGATGATTGCCATCGTCACGGTCTGTTCCACGCTTTCTGTCGTGGCATGTTTGGAGTTGGGAATCAAGACAGTCTCTCACAGCATCTTGGTATGTGGCAACGTGGTGGCCCTGGTACCTCCTCACCTGATCGTCCGGACGGTCGGTCACCACTTGAACCACTTCATCGCCACTGGCTTCGACAACCAAGCCTTTGCCCACACGGCACTGGGAGAGGAGTGGCCGAACGATGGCCAGGGGGCCAAGGTGGATTGTTTGGGCCCTTCTCGTCGGCGCTTTAATGGCACGCATCTCTCGTGGATGCACCATCAAGCACGGGGTCATGTGCACCTTGCCCTTCCTGTATGCCGTGCTGTGGTTCTGCATCTTCGGTGCAGCCGGCATCAGCATGCATCGACGCACCATCTCCGCCGGTTTCGACAGCGCGGACTACTACCTCCACGCGGAACACGAGATTTCGGCCCAGCGGCACGGGCAGGTGCTCCGGTGTGGCGGTGAGCATCCCCGGCGAGGCATGTTGAGCCCCGTTTGTAGTACCCAGGCGGCGACTCCCCAGGATATGGTTTGAACTCATGGGCCAGTGGCGGCCAATTCTACGGGATTCTACGGGCAACGACTGTGTGTCTCGGCACCCCGACTCCGTCTGCCCGACCTGGTTGTTTTTGAGCAAGTTTGCGATGCACGAGGAAGGATCGCCGACGAGTAGTGATGGTAGAAGTTTTCGCCACAGTTTGGTTGCATTTCGCTCGGCATGCGTGCTTGTACAAACGCTATGCTCGCATGCCTTGAGTGGGCACAGTTTTTTGACAATCGTGTGGGGTGTTGCTTTGCTGTTTACCTCCCCCCTGCCCTTGGACAAATAGGCGCAAAGCCGTAGTGGTTTATTGCGCTGTGGAGTCATGAATTGCCACGCGCTTGTTTGTTTGACGTCCTTATATCACCTCTTCCAAGGTGTTTTGGCATCTAAGGTATGGACCTTGTGCAGGGATGGCCTCATACGATACCCATGAGGAATACCTTGCACTTTCCGAGGTCCGAAGAAGTGACCTGTGAAGTAGCTTAGTGTGGTCGTGGTTTGCTTCCTTTTAGGTTTGGGTGCGATGTGCTGTTTGTGATACGGCTTTTGCAACGGTGCCGGGTTACGCGCAACAGCATCTGCACCTGGGAGTCGACTCAGCTTTCTGTTCAGTCGAGTATGAGGTGTACTTTGCGGCTGGTTTTTCCCCTCCAGATTTTGACTAGATGCAAGCCAACGGGCTGCGTCGAATCGACTTTGTGCTCGAAATGAGCGATACATATACACATATGCGAGTTTCTGAAAATCAAGGGTACCTTATTCGGGGGTCCCTTATACTTAATAACGATCCTACAAATTTGGGGTACCATATTAGGGTCCCCTAATTTTCGGAAACCCCCCGAAACCCTAAACAAGAAAACCCCAAACCCTAAACCCCTAAACAATGAACCCTAAACCCTAACCCCTAAACCCCTAAACCCGAAACCCTAAACCCCCCATCTCTGAACGGCTTCTGCTTTGCAAGGACCTACTTGGAGGTTCATGGTTACCCTTAACCCTAAACCCTATAGAACCCTTTAAAGGAACCCTTACAGGAACCCCATAGCCCCACTTATACCTACCCATGAACCTCCAAGCACCCTAAACCCTAAAC